CCAAGACCAAGTGGCCTCTCCATCCCCTGCTGCCTGCTCTGCATTATTCATGGGTGATTGGGTTTCAGAGGCATCATCTGTCCGCTCACCTTGCTTTCCTGAGCACCAGGCTCCTCCACCAGGAAAGAGGCCAGACTGATGGGGAAGCTGACGCTGTGCTGTTTTATGGCTCTGTGAGTCCTGTCCTCTTGGAGCCTGGAGCCCAGGCCCTTGTTTCAGTCTTCCTGGCACCTGCCCATGTGCACCAGAGGCTGATGTGAGGGTGAGGACAGGGCCTTGTGCCTCTAACCCCTGGCTGTCAGAGGACACCCCAGGGTTTGGGGTGAAGCTCTCCGTCTTCCTTCAGCCAGGTGTGGAGCATCTTGTGGGACAGACATGGGGGCCTCTGTTCATATAAGGGTGTGGGCAGGGATGAAGACACACAGGATGGTTCACACTAAGCAGGAAGAAATTTGGCATTCAGGAGGATACATGTGTTCAGCAGAGCCACTTAAATTTTCTCCTGATGCCAATAATGATTCATCCAGCTTCTCTGGTTAGCTCCAGACGGGTAGAAGATAGATTTCTTCATCTTCTCATAATTGCCTTTAGGGAAAGCTCAATTGAGTTACATTTTAAAAATACCCAGATTCCCCTCCCTGGGGTGCCAGCTGTCGGTGGCGTGATGGGCCATGAGCAGGGGCCTGGAGTGGACATTGTAAGCCGAGGTGCCCGGCTCTGAGATACAGCATGGCAGGCTGCTTCGGGAGGCTTCAACTGTGTGCACAAAGGGAGCTCTCAAGCACTTGGACAGGCAGCCCCGCCATCTCTGTTGCCGCTGGGCGCTGACCGCTGCACACACTCACGTGTGCCATGCCTTCCCACAACCGACCTTGCTCACACCTGCGCTTCTACAGACAGGTGGGGAGTGTGCCACCCTTGCTATTGGGCAGTGACGTCGCGCTGTGGAGGTGGAGCCCCTCACCATCGCTGGGACCTCTGCGGCTTTGCTGTCGTTGGCCCAGAAGTTGTCGTGTGGCGCATGACTGCAATCCTAAGATGTTCTCTGCCCTTCCCACTGAGTGGACCCTGAGCAATGGTGCAGTGTCAGTGGTGGCCAAGCCGCTGGCACTTGAGCCCTTGTCCAGGCAAAGCACCCACCTGTCACTGTGCCCTTCACCCCCAGGCAGTCAGTTTAAAGCTTTACTTTTGAATGTCCTCACCAAGGCTAAGGCAGCAGATGGTGTCCCCGTCACCGCCTGCAGCCACAGCACAGGCCTTTCCCACAGACTCAGGACGCCAGAGCAGACCCCATGCTCTCAGCAAGCATGGCTTGCTGAGTGGAGGCTGGTAGGCGGTGTCCAAGCTGGGCTCCAGCGCCTACAGCACAGCTCTAATTCGACAGAAGGGGACGGACTAACTCTGGCTCCTCAGAAGGGGATGTTTGGCCGACATTTCCTCAAAATGAACACATGAGCCTGTCCTTCCAAGTACTTGCTGCTAGTGACAACATTTTGAGCTTCCATACGGAAACAGGAATTTTGGAACACTCATTTCTCCACCCTGAACCCGACAGCTTCCCGGGAATTTTTCAAATGACAGAAACATGATATCTTGACCCTCCTGTGGGCAAAGGATATATTCAGAATGCAGGAGAGTCTAGTGGATTTCACTGTATGAAAAGGGTGCAAAAAGTTGTGATTTCAGATTCCACATTGCAACAAACTTTCAAAAAATTACCACTTGTCAAGTTCAGGTGTAATGTCAAGGAGAATATTGAGTTAAAGTTCTTTAAAGAGATGGAACAAATAGAATAGATAGATATGTAGGTAAATATATAGATCTATGAATGGACGCTCGTATGGATGGATAGATGGATGTGTGGGTAGTTGCACAAACACTTGAATAAATACTGGAGATGACTCGATGGATGGATGGATGGATGGGTGGATGGATGGACACACGACAGCAGATTTCCTGGGGCACTCAGCTCCTGTGCTCATGGAAGATGAGATTCCCACAACCTTCTGGTGCCTGGAAACTGGAGGCCCAGAGAAGCCAGCAGAAGTCCCAAGGCCTCAGAACCAGGGCTGGATGAAGTAGCACTTACTCTGTGGCCTAGAGCCCAAGGATAGGTGGTGAAGGTAGTCCAGCTCTGTAAGAGAGAGGGAGAATTCTCTCCTTTCCACTGCTGGGTCCTGCCCAGGCCCAAGTCGTCAGGTGGTGCCCACATTGAGGCAGATTTTCTCCGCCCAGTCCACCAACCCCACCTGGCCTCTCGGGATCACTCTCCCAGATCCACCAAGAGAAGGTATTGGTGACTATCTCGGTGCCCCTAATCCAGTCAGGCTGACAGCTGCAATGAACCATTGCAAACGTCCACAAGCATGTGAAAAGCCACACACCTACTCCTCACGTTCCAATTGCTGTGTGAGGCCAGCTGTGCACACAGTGCCACCAGACTGTGCCTAAGGACAGGTGCATGCACAAGCCCCCAGCCCTCCTGAGAGCCCAGCTTCTCGATGGGTCAGTAGGTAAACCAACTGCAGCCGATCTCTACCTGAAACCCTCCACAATAAAGAAATGAACTGTTAACAAGCAACTGCATGTGTGAGTTTAGATAGTTGTGCTAAAGGAAACCAGACCAAAAACAGCACCACTGCAAGATCATTTCCACAAAATACTAGAAGATGTAAAATATCAGAAAGCAGATCTTGGGCACTAGGGAAGGGGGCTGCAAAAGGGGGCTTACAAGGGACACAGACAAACTTAGGGGGTGGGTGTGCTCACCACCCGTGACACTGACCCTGAGGGTGTGCCTATATGCCAAGCCTGTACAGTTTCCATTTAAAAAGTGGGTACTTTGTTGTATGCCATCCAAGCCACCCAAAGCTGTGATTTAAAAAACTACCTTTTTCAGGGTCTGGGTTAAACTGAGGACCATGGCTCTCAGAACATCTCAGGTTGTGAGGCATCTACAGCAGAGTGGTGTGGTGGGAGAGAGAGGGCGCCATATGGAGGGACAGGAGCTGGAGACTGGGAAAGGCCGGCCTGCCCCCATACCAGCTGCTCCACGGAAGCCACTGGGGTCTCAGGAGGTGCTTGAGGATGGGCTCCAGGGACCTGGCCTCTTTGAACTGTGCTTCCTCCTTTGAAATCCCCAATGCTCCCAATGACAGCACAGCAGGGCCACACTTCTAACAGGGAACCTCAGGGACAAATTCCACCATGCCTGAACATGCTTGTTCTGCGGCCATGCTGTATCCCATTTGTTTGCTTGTTGCCTCTTCTCCCCAGCTGTGTCTGTGTCTTGCTCTGCAAAGCATCCTGATATGTGGCAGGTGTCTGGCACACGGAGGACGCACGGTAACAGCTGAGAGGCTAAAGCTGGGCACAGTCTCTCCTGGTGCTTTTCAACTGCACAAGTGCCATGGTGCTTGCTGTGGTATGGTGGACACTGTCCATGTCCTCTTCTGGACAGATCTGAGAAGTCATCAAGGCCCAGCCTATGCAATCCTTGGGCAGGCACTGCTGGGCTCAGCCTGCCGGGGCTGCCGTCCTACCGGTATATGTAAGCCATGGAGAAAGCTTCGTGTGCCCCTCTCAACCAAGATGTAGCTCCTCAGGCACAGCAGACGGCTGGTGATGATGACAGCTCCTGACAACCCTTCCACTCCCAGAGATTCTGAATCGTGGGCCTGGGCATAGGGGCAGGGGTTAAAAACAAATTTCTGGATGATTCTAATGGCAGCCAAGGACCAGAGCCCGCAATCCTCTGGAGTGTACATCAGGGTTGGCTCTGGGAGTGTCCTTGGGCACTGGTGGCCAGTAGGGGTCGGCGAGTTTCCTGGCGTGGCTGTCCTCTGACCTCTCGTGGTTTGTCTCACTGTCCCCAGCATCACCCCAGTTCCTAGGGAGACTGACCCTTTGCAGGTCCGATTGTACACCTTGTTTTGAGTGGCTGCTGATATCCTTAACTCAGAAGGTTTTGTTGGTTTGTTTTTCAGTGCTAGTGATGAAACCCTAGCTTCAGCATGCTGGACAACTGCTATACCATTGAGTTACACCTCAGCCCACAAAGGATTTTTTTTTTTTTTTTTTTTTT